GAATGTAATTTATCAACCATGAGAAAGGTGACACTTAATATTATTATTACATTAAACTCAGTGTTTTCAGGACAGGAAGTGCATTGGTTGGTCTTTTAATGCATTCTATTGAAATAAAAGAAACCAATTGCTTCATTTTAAAAGCTTCATATTTGTTGTGTCAAAGTGATATTTCAAAACTTTAGAATGTTGTGTTGAAATTAATGCCATTTCTTCAAAATAGCACAGCTCTTTCGTCACCGCATAATAGACTTGTATTGTTAGCAGCCCCTTTGCATAATACACAACTGAACCATAGGACTTCATGAATGACTTCTCCAGAATGTTCTGCTGCAACTCCTGAGGGTCAGACCACGACCATGTGATGAGTTTAAAGAAACAGACTTTCATATAAACCTCTGGCAGCAAGAACATGACTCTGCATGTTGCCAAAAAGGGGAAAACATTTGATATCAAAAGCAGTATCAGTAAAGGAGGTCATCTTCCACCTCAGGGTTGATTTTAGTTGTGGATGTGTAGTGTGTAGACATCAAAGCATTCTTAAGAACACTGATTAATCTGTATTTCAATTATTTAAAGGATTGTGTAAAGCTTTAGTAGCGGCACATACTCACTATTTCTATTTGTCTTGTCTAATTTGTATCAGCACTGATGAAGGACCTTGAAGAACCTCTCAGTGAAAAGGCCTCATCGAAAGTGTGTTTGTTTCAACACAGACAGTTTCTCAGATCTGACTCCATTCTGATATTAAAACACTTGCAGAATGGGTTGCGATGGCACTATATGTTGAAGACATTTACTTTAGGTTTCACCTGTAGACCTGTGTGATGTGCTCACAATAAACAAATTACAACACATTTGTTTTCATGAATATATTTGTATATAGAAAACATTAAAAATGTCAAATTTAGAGTCTCATTGCTATTGTATTACAGTAATATTTATAGTTACATTTCTCAGGTTTCCCTCTAAAATCATGTAATTGATAATATTTATATGAAAATGCATAGCTTAAACATCTAAGGAAATGAAATGAAAATGCAAGCAAAAACAAATCTGAATTGACATTTTCACAAATTTTTTTTTGTTTGTTTGCTGAGTAGCCCTGCTCTGATCCTAAATATATACTGCCTACTGCTGTAGATATACTTTGTCTATCATGAAATATACCATCTACTGATTTTAATTTGGCTATAGCCTACATGTATAATTCATCAAGAGAGGCTTGAATTTTTTAAGAATGCAGAGTTGCACTTTGTGAAATGAAATGGCGCCCTCTATGGACCAACAATTCATAATGACACTAAAAAACCCCTCATGATTCTCAAAATTCAGGTTTTTACACAAAAACATTTTAAATATCATGATCTGCACAAACTCATTTCTGCTCTGACATCACAAAACCAACAAACAAAACACATCTAAAACAAACAAAAACACTTCTTAAAGGGGTCATGTGATGCGATTTCAATTTTTCCTTTCTCTTTGGAGTGTTACAAGCTCTTGGTGAGCTTTTTCAGACCAATGAGCTTTGTAGAAATCGACGCGTTTCAGAACGGCGGGGCATAGAGGAGAAACAATAATGTACAGTATGTGGAAAATAATGTGTTTTTTGAACCTTAAACCGCATAAACACATTTCATTACACCAAATACACAAAATAATGTTCTTTTAGCAGCATCATATGACCACTTTAAAGGAATAAAGCACTCACAGATGAAAATTCCCACAAAGTCATATGGACTATTTTGATGGTTTTACATTATAAACCACCATTTACTTTCTCTGTAAAAATTTCAAATTTCTTCCCTTTGTATTTCACACAAATAAATAATTAATACGGGTTTGATAAATGATGATGACAGAATTTTCATTTTTCGACAAACTATTGCTTGAAATAAGATGCAGGCAACAAGTCTTGAATATTAATTCAACAGAAAGTAAACAGCTAATTAACTTCTGTGCACACAGTTGAAGTGACTGTAAAAATCAACAACAACTAAAGTGACTGCAACAATAAATAATATTATTAAATATAATTTGTCAGATGTTGACAACTGTGACATACAGATAAACATTTACCCTGCATAGATTTGTGCTAGAAGCTCTCAGAAGGTCTCTCCATCCTAAAGGTTTTATGGACAATTGACCACTAATATTTGATCTATTAACTTTGTAGTTTTACAATTACTCTAATACAGGTTCCAAAGGAATGCTGGGAATGGATAAAGACAGGATGCAACTAACATCCCTGCCTAAAGTTAATTGAGAATTACTGTACATTTTGCTAATTGAAATATTCAGAATTACCTCTATTTTACATAAAATGCATAATAATTTATACACACAGATGTGGAATAAACAACAACTAAACATAAATAAATAATAATAAAAAAATAAACATAAAAATGTAACAATTAAATCTAGCAATTTATATAAGACAGATTCATCAATATCTAGAATCTTTGATTATACAGTCACTCCAAACATATTTCAGTGCTCTACAGGTACTGAAGGTAATGAACACTCATGTACTGAATATTGCACTTCCAGTTATTAGGAAATTATGTGGAGGTAAAATAGCCTACACTCTTAAAAATATTTAGACCTAAATTGAAGATGTATGCATTTGAATTGCTTATACAATTTCCATCCATTTGGATTATACAGTTTTAACATTAACTACTAAACATACTGTGTTGCATGTGTCAGTCACCCATAAATGAAACCGGTTACCAAGTTTTGTAATAGTAATAAAATTAATGCATTTTAAGTACAGTACACAATTATTAGGTTTATATATTTGTCATCAATAATAATTTGTTTCAATCTATATTTTAACTATTTGAATATTGCTTGTTCATACTTTTTTTACTGAATAAATGTAATTTTTTTTTTTTTTACAATGAACAGATTTATGCTGAGCAATCTGAACAAATGCTACTTAAATGTCACTTAAAATAAAATAAACATTAACTGAATAAAAAACTAATAATAAAAAAAACTTACTTCAGCTAGTTGCCAAGGCAAATTTTCTTATTTTAATTTGGATTAATTTAATGTACTAATTAATTTGATGCACTAAAATAATGAAAACTGAAATAAATTAATAAAATATATTCAGAAATATAATGACTAAAAATCAAATACTAAAAATAAAAAACACAACAAAATTAGAACTTTAAGCCTAACTAAAATGAAAATGAAAATGAAAAATAAATAAAAATAGATTCAAAATATTAATAAAACATACAATAGTATCTAAAAGACATTAAAATTTTAGAGATACACAATCTTTCTGAAAACCATTTATGTATGACTGACAAATATGCATTACATTAAGTTTATTAGTTTTTTTTTTTTTTTTTAAACTGTGTAATCCTAATGGCTGGAAATTGTATGTGAAATTCAAATACAGAAATCTTTGAGTGCATGGAGCTGTCAATCAAAAAAAAAAACTGTCCAGTAGAGTCACAGCACATTTTACCTTCTAGTTAAAGGATTAGTTCACCCAAAAATGAAAATTCTGTCATTAATTACTCACCCTCATGTCGTTTCAAACCCGTAAGACCTCCGTTCATCTTCGGAACACAAATTAAGATATTTTTGATGGAATCTGAGAGCTGTCTGACCCTCTCATAGACAGCAACGCAACTGAAATGTTCCCAACCAAAGAAACCTGGCAAGGAGATCTCTAAAATCCATGTGACATCAGTGGTTCAACCGCAATTATA